GGTGCGGGGGCTGGAGCAGAAAGCAGAGTTGCAGAGCGGGCAGGGGAAGGGGATGGGGGCTGCCCTGGGGCAAGGAGCAGGGTTGCCCCCACTGCTCCAGCCTCTTCCCTGGGTCAGGTCCCTCGCCTACCGGTCCTAGGGCTCCCCAGCTCATTGTTTTCATTTTGAAGCCTGACTTTTTTTTTTCCCCTAAGCCAGTTCTAAATCCTTAAATCACATCCAGCTTGAAACCTCATACGTGAATTAGTGTTTTCTAAAACTAACCTTAAAAAGAAGTCAGATCTGCCAAATGTTATAGGATGTGCAACCCGCCTTCATAGAGCAAGCTGCTTATTTTGCAAAGCTTTGGTTTGAAAGGAGTAACTCTTGTTCCTTTGGCAGTAGAAAGGCTGCTGGAAAAAAAAGTCTGGGTGCTGATGCCAAGGAATATCTCCACAGTGTTATTGGCAAAGCTTTGATGTTTTGTCACTTAGAAGAAAAAGGGGGTTTTCCTAGTAGTTAAAGTTTTATTTGTAAAATTATTCGTCAGTCAGTGCCGTTTCTCATATGCCGTTGAACGTGAATAAGCTCTGCTGTCTCATGGTTTAAAATAAAGCTGTTTTAAATCACGTTGAGCTGAAACTTGGCATGCAGAGTCTCGGCTCAGGTTCTGCTCTGCGATAACGTGATGAGCCCGGGAGCGGTTGTAGGAAAACATTTATCTGTTTACAAAATGCGAGTTTGTTATTCTGTGCCTAAAGGATGGGATGTTTTCTTTTGGTGTTGTGAAACAGGAGATTGTTCTGTCAAAGATCAATGGAGCATGTGCAGTACTTCTCGTATTGTATCAAATCTTACTGTGAAATCGATATTCAGCTATCATTTGCTGCTTCATAATGATAAACTGTAAAAGTGCATTGGTTGGGGTGGGGGGAGAAAAAGAACACTTTGTGGTTTGAGAAACTTGGAATGAAATGGGGCAGCTTTTCTTCAGTGTGGTTGATGGGGGGCGGGGGGAGTAGGTTCATAAAGGGACTTTGGATATAACCTTATGAAATAGTCAGTGGAGTTAGTGCAGGAAACCAGGACTTCTCTCAAGTTAGTGTCTGAGCTCCTGGCTCAGTCGGTCAGACTCACTCTTGCTCTTTCCGTCCTATTGAAGATTAAATTCTTCCAAGTGGCACCGTTTTAATAAGAGGGATGGAGATCGTCCTGTTGCAGAATACCCTGTGGTTAGAGCGCTGTCCTGGGTGATGGGAAAAGTGGATTTGATTCTCGTCTGGCAAAGAAGGGGATTGAATTCAGGTCCTGGATGAGTGCGGGGTAACCATGGGGGTAGTGGATGAACAGGTGATGGCACTGGTACTCCCCTTCCTCTTCCTCTCCCCACAACCCCTTTGTTTTGTGCAAAGCCTGATCTGCTAGGTGTGCTTTGAGACTGCTTACCACATCTAACCCCTCAGATGAGAAAGGTAAATAAATACATCCTTTGTGGATCCATATGGAGTTTAGGTATTGAACTGTACAGGACTGTCAGGGCAGGTGCTTATGGGCATGCCCAGGAGTAAACTCTAGTATTTTATAGTTTTAGAAAAAAATCAGTTGCTTCCTTGGTTAGGTGGCAGTAGAGCAGAGGTTTTGAGACCTGTGCTTTTGGACTTCAGTGCTGAAGACTTTCTGCGGATCTAGCCTTGAAAGTTCAGTGTGCAGTTTTCATCCCCTTCACAAACAACCAGTCATAAAGAAAAGGGAAAATGTTACAGTATTATATTGCAATACAAAAATCATATATAACTTTGAAAATGTGCTTACTTGGATCTGTAAAGATTATTCTTAGTCATTAACAGCTATTTGGTTACCTTGTGTGTACATTAAAGTAAGGCGATTATTCTCCATAATCAGGGCCATATTGATATGATACCAGACATAAAAATCAAAGCTGGGCAGAAAGAGACATTTTGTGTGTCAAAGATAAATGGAATTGGATTTTTTGTTTTATATTATTTCCCTCATAAATACCTTTCAGACTAATTTTAAATTAATTCTCACAAGTTTGATCTGTTGAAGTTTGTATCAACAATAGTAATATAGTAAATAGTGTAATAGGATGATAATTATGGAACACACACACACTGTATACTCATATATTAGAATAAATACACCTATACCTGTAATTTTACTATGCTGTTGGTGTATATATGCACTGATTTTTATAATTTTTATACTGTTTTACTAGTATAGTAAAATTACAAAAGCTGGTGTAGCTATTCTTATTCTTAATGGAAGAGCTAAGCTAAAGTAAGGCTTATACATTATTAAAATTGAGGGTTAGAGCCACTGCAGTACTATGCTGCAGAAAAAAAAAAGTTTGGGTGGGTATAGAAGATGATGCTTTTTCAAAAGTATGTCTCATCGAAGTCAGCATAGTGTAGTATTATCTTTTCAGCCTGTTGTTTTTGTATTTAAAAAGTTCAGAGATTGGCTTAGATACTCAAAAGTAATGATATTGTAAATGCTGTAGATTTCAGTAATCAATCCTTGTAAGCAGTAAACATTTTAATGGGCAGGTTGGTGACTTAAGAACTGTATCACAAGCTACAGATAAGGGGTAGTAGAAAGAATCAAGTTCACGTAGGTTATTGATGTCACTTTTCACTACTAAGTTCCAAGCATTTTCAGGAAACTTCTGAATATACATCGTGTGTTGTGGTTTTTGCTGTGTTTTACAGAGTATCAAATATTGGGGTATGTCAGGGAAAGATTTAGCCTTGAATCTGAAAAAAAAATTAGCTAAGAACAGTCTATGTTCTTATTTGGACTTAGTACAAGTAATCAGTGCTGGTGAAATATATGCAGTGGTGTTATACTGCCCTGACACTGATTAGCTTTGCTCACTCTGAGGATTTCTACTAGTCAGTTTAAGGGCAATTATTAGAAACCTTGAAAGTGAGCGGAGCTAGTTTGATTCTGAGCTGCTAATACCATAATGTCCTAATACCTGGACTGTGTGCTGTACTTATTTCAGGGGTATAGGTTGTAGCCATGTCGGACTCAGGACATAGGCAGACAAGGTTCTTTGGGTAAATCCAATATCTTAAAATAGTTGGAAAAATTCTTCTTTGCAAGTTTTCAGGTACAAACACACTTTGGCAGGCTGAGGAAGCATCTGCAGTTGGTCTGTGCTCCTCCAGCTGCAGATGCTTCCTC